TTTTTTTTTTTTTTTGATAAATTTAATTAATTTATTTTTTTTTATATAGAATTCTCAGAAAAAAAATCACGGCTGTAGCATTTGTTAGGATTTTTCAATAATAATAATATTATTAGAATATTACAACGTTGTTTATTTACATGTAAATTTATTAGAGACTGAAATTAAAAATAAAATATTAGGAATGCTGTAATTATGCTGAAATTCATATAAAATATTATTATTTATTTTGCCGAAACTACGGATAAACTCGTTATAAAGGTTTTGCAAATTTTGGCAATTTCACAAGTTTCGGCAGTTTCGCGATTTCGCAGTTTCGCAGTTATGGCACTATATGTGAAGTTTCTCCTTTCAGCATTAGGCCAAATAGGTTTCGGCAGGCAACCTTAAATATAACTTACTAATAGCCTCATTTCCAAATAAAGTGATTAATAAGAAAAATCTAAGTAACGCTATTCAACAATTTAAAAAACAAGTAAAACTTATTAAAAATGATGCATGTCAAATGCTTATTGAACTATACTTAAAAAAAATAATGATCCAAGATGGATCATAAAGCAATGCTTTAATCATAGAAAAAGAAGATTAAATTCATTATTTTAAATGTCACCTGATCAAATTAATGCATATAAAAGATACCATGATATTGTGATTATTGATACGACGTCCAAAACTAATCAATTTGATATGATATTAATGCTAATCATTGTAGTTGATAATAATTTTAGAAATATAATGATAGCTGCAGCAATTTTAGAAGATAAAACAAAAGCAACTTTCACATAGATTTTACAAGAATTAAAAAATTCTTGTGATTTTATATCAACAGTTTTATATTCTGATACTGATCCAGCTTTAATATTAGCTATAAAGACAAATTATTTAGAAACACACCATTTCTATTGTATTTTTTATATAGATTTAAATCTAAAAAAGAAACTTAAAGGAAAATTACATGATCAATTTGAACTTTTTTGTGCTAGATTTTTAAAAATGCACAACTCTCTATGTCATAAAACATTTGAAATAAAATGGAATACACTTATTGATAAATTTCCAGCTTGTGAACAATATCTTACAAGAGCTTTATATCCTTGTAAAAGTAGTTGGGCTTATTATGCTATTAATCAGAATTTTACAGTGGAAATTCAAAGTACACAACAAGTAGAGTCTACTAATAAAATAATCAAAAATATATTAAATAGATCTTCATATTTGACTGATGTTGTTAAAGAAGTTCAAAAAATATTTGATCAACAATCAAAAAAAGCAATATTAAACAGGACTCCAGACATCTCTTATAGAACTCACAACTGACTTTTTGCCAAAAAAGACCCAATTTGCTCTTTTTTTATTTTCCATTTTTTGTGATTATCTTAGTATTCAATGATCCAATTCATGCAGATTTTTTTTTATTTTGTAGAGCTCGATGAGAGCTACAAAACAAAAAATGTTCATATAAATTGGACCACTGAATGCCAAGATAATTGCAAAAAACTGATTTTTTTATTGTGAAATTTAGGTCAATCTGCGAAAAAGTTGCCACTGAGTTGTATATGTAATGTCCAGGTAAGGATAGTTATCGGTCCTACCAGTCCTACCCAGTCCTGAATTGGTCAGTCCTGGGACTTATAGGATCAGACTGCGGTCTTGCATTTTTTTGTGGTATAGCAGGATCAGTCCTGAGGACCGACCAGTCCTCATATCGGTCTTCATATAATAAATGATTTTTATATTGAATAAATCTATTAATCTGATGAAGGTCTTTATAAAATAATATAAAGACTGACCAATTCTAAACTAATAAACAATAACAATCACTTCTCCCCACTTGTAGAGTTGCAAAAAAGCGTTTAAACAGAATATCTTGTTATCCAGTGATTATAAAATGATGAAACTACTACCATTCGAATCGACTCAACAAGACGCGTCGAATGGTGGCTAAGTCATATTTTCAGAATTGATAAATAGTCAGCAATTATTGAATTTGTTATCAAATAGTTTTGCTGATTTAATTTTTTTTCTATCGATTATAAAATAATGATTTTGATACCATTTGACGCATCTTATTGAGATGATTCGAATGGTGGTAGTTTCATATTTTTATAATCACTGGATGGCGAGATATCATGATTATTATCACTAATACAATAATAGTATGTAAGTGTATGACGCATGTGATGATCATTTGTAAAAAAAAATTGTATATTTAAAAACATCCCGATTAGTGTTCATATTTATAAAACAAGGCTATTCCTAATAAAGTTAAAGAAAATAATTTTTTATTTGTAAAAAAAAAGAAAAAAACTGATCGGTCTTAAAAAGACTGCAGTTCTTAAAAAGACTGACGGTCTTATTATATGTGATACAAGACCGAAAGACCGCAATTTTATATTAAGATGGACTGGTTCGTCTTTTTATGGTATAGGATCGTAGAACTGCGGTCTTTTAGGACCGATGACCATCTTTATGTCTGGGTTCTTATTAAACGAATGTAAAAATGAAATTCCTACTAAAGGAATATCATCAATTATAGATAAATATTTACTAGAGCTTGATAAGATTCTGCGAGAATATTTAATACTATAAATTCTTCAGAAACAACATGATCAAATGGCACAATCGTTATGTTATTATATGGAATTAATTGAAGATTGGTTACCACTCTTAGAAGTAAGTATATTGCTAATAGTTAATAAGAAAAATGATTAGTACTTGTTTAAAATGATAAAGACAATTACTAAAAAAAATACTTCCCTTTTTTTTGTTTTTTTTCATAGATAGTAGATGATTTATCAATAAGAAATGGCCAGAGAGGATGATTATGATTAATCTCAATCTTTATTTTCTTTATTAATCAAAAATATACCTCATAATAGTATTTGGCAAATATGGAAAATAACTAGACATCGTGGACAAAAATCTGAACCACAATATATCATTTTACTTAATGACAGGTCACATTTATGTACCTGTCTTTGGCTTATTAATAAAGGAATTGTATATAAGCATTTCTTTTGGATTATATCCTATTCAATTAATGTACAATTTCATATATCTCTTATTTTTTAACAATGGTATAATTATAACAAGTATAATATTGAACAACAACATAAAGAACTGGTATACCAAATTGAAGAAAATGAATTAAAGATAGGTCCACAATTATCATTTTAATATCTTG